TTTGCCAGTTTATTTACAAAACTGCTAGTATTACAGTAAGTAAAGTCCCAAAACTGCTAGTATTACAGTAAGTAAAGTCCCAAAACTGCTAGTATTACAGTAAGCATATCACAGCACTGTACTAGTGTTACAGTAACTAAAGTCACAACATTGTGTTAGTACTACAATAAGTAAAATAACAACACTATGCTAGTATTATAGTGTTGTATTACAGTAAGTAAACTAACAACACTAACTGGCAAAAATGTGTTAGTATTACATAAAGTAAACTAACAACACTATGCTACTATTACAGTATATAAACTGACAACACTATCTTAGTATTACAATAAGTAAACTAACAACACTATGCTACTATCACAGTATATAAACTGACAACACTGTGTTAGTATTACAATAAGTAAACTAACAACACTATGCTAGTATTACAATAAGTAAACTAACAACACTATGCTAGTATTACATTTTGCTAGTATTACAGTAAATAAACTGACTGACATATTTAGACTATTTGTTAATTGTATAAATTGGAAGTAATTTATTTTGCAAACTGTGTTTGTTTGTTTCTTAAAGAAAATTAATTTTTAAAAATTTTCTATTTTATATAAACTTGAAACTTAAATTAATTAGTTTAAAAAAGTATTTAGTTGTTTTCGGATTTTTGAAAGTAGCCTATGATGGTACGAAACCGATTGAATAAAGAACAGGGAGGATTCGAGTTTTCTTACACATATTTATGTAGAATTACATTATTATATAAATCATGAAAAATCATTTACTTAGCTTTACTGTCTTCATTCAGTCACGCTGATAAAAAAGTCGTAAGTTAATGTTAATATACGTCTTATTTTATGTTAGATTTGCCTAGGCCTAAAAGAATTGGAAACGTTTTTTACCTAGGCCTTTAAGAATTGGAAACATTTTTGCGTAATGAATTAAAGGCTTCGGTATTTTATTTCATTTATATACAATTCAAATATATAAATATGGAACGTATACTTGAAGAGCTTTGTATTATTATTTAATTGTACTGAAATGTGCTACTTATTGTACTGATATTACATCATGTAAACTCAGTATGACGATTTTATGTTTTTATTCAATAGTTCAACTTAGTCTTTGGATGCCGAGTTCTGAAGAAAATCACTAGATGGACGATAAGAATGCAAGTGATAAAACGACATAATTTAATTTGAGAACAGGTAGATGTTATTTTCCAGAACATGGTAAAATAATATGTCATGGCTGTCTTCATTTATATTTAATAACTACTATGAAAGAAAATGAAAAAAATTATGAGTGCTTCATTTTTTATTGTACATGTTACATATAATTAATATTTACGGCAATCAGTGCTATCCTTCAACAAAGTAGACGCTTTCTGATATTTAATGCTGGCCATCTACCGTCATATCTGACAGTTTTTACAAACTAACGATATCGTCAAAGCTATTAAACAAAACTTTTTAAGTATCAATTTCATAACGACAATCACAAAACTTAATATATAATAACGTGTAGACATATTTCGTCCATTATTTTAACGAAGAGCCAACGTAAAAAGCAGCATTGCCATCATTTCTCGACAACGTGTGAAGGATTTACTTTTATGTCACAAAAATTAGATAAAAAATCGTTGTTCAGTTTGTTTTTTGTTGTTACTCGTATTGTTATTTTTTAAAAGCACTATCTGTGACGTAATACGAGTTTGACGATCGAGGATATTAAATTTATACCATACTTATAAACGTTTTTTTTTCCTTTCTTTCTAAGTTAAATATATTGTGTTTCCATTGAATTATGCAAGAGGTTTGATGGTATAAATTTTGAATTTTCAATAAATGTAACTTAGTTTTAGCAACTAATAAATTACTGTTTATAACATAGTATGTTTGACTTATGTAGTAAATGAAAGATGAAATTATGATTCAAAACATTCATTAATAAATATTAGACAAATAATGATGCATATAATTAAAATACAAATCAACAACACAAACATATATATTATTACAAAAATCGAACCACAAAATTACAACAGTCCCCATGTGGGACAGCAGTAATTCTAGGGACTTACAACACTAAAATCCGGGATTCGATTCTCCGCAGTAAACACAGCAGATAGCCTATTGTGGCTTTGTTCCAAAATAAACAAACAAACAAAATTATAACGAATATTGTCATGTATACAAGTATCACCATTATGACTGCAACTAAATTTAGTTTCTGCATATTAACAAATTAGTTGTGTTATGAGTTTACTTACTGTAATATTAACAAGTTTATGCTGATATTACAGAAGAAAATCACAACAATTGTGTTTGTTTACAGCAGAAAAAACTCGTATCAAACTTCATACGTTATTGTTACGATATATATATATATATGTAAACTTAGCAAAGTCACAACACAATATACTGTGTTAGTATTAAAGAAATTAAATTACAACACTTTTCGTACTGGTATTAAGTAAACTCACAACATTTACTGTTTTGGCATTAAAGTAGCTAAAGTTACAACATTTACTGTAGTGATATTACATAATGAACACTCAATATTTATTGTGTTAAATGTTACATTAAGCAAACTCCAACACAATAAAATATGTTAATATTAAAGTAACTAAAACAACAATACTTACTGCTTTGATATTACATTAAGTAATAACATGATATTTTACTGTGTTAATATTACACTGTATTATAGTAGTATAGTATTACACTGAATATAGTAAAAAACGTTCTTGTAATTATATCAAAAATTAATACACTTATTGTGATAGTGTTACAATAACTTAACTCTCAACATTTTTCTGTGTTAATATTATAGTAAAAACTCACAATACTTGCTCTGTTGGTTTTAAAATAAATAAACTCTCCACACAACAACTTAATGTGTTAGTATTACAGTAAGTAAACTCACAACACACTTGTTGTGCTAATGTTATAGAAGGTAAACTCATGACATTCTTGTTAGTGTTAGAGTAACAAACGTCTCAACATACTTGCTATAGTAAATAAACTGGAAACTTTCTGTAAGTGTATTACAGAAAGTTTGTTTGTTTGTGTGTTATGAATTTCGCGCAAACTTACACGAGGGCTATCTGCGCTAGCCGTCCCTAATTTAGCAGTGTAAGACTAGAGTGAAGGCAGCTAGTCATCACCGCCAACTCTTGGGCTACTCTTTTACCAACGAATAGTGGGATTGACCGTCTCATTATAACACCCCCCACGGCTGAAAGGGCGGGCATGTTTGGTGTGACTGAGATTCGAACCCACAGATTACAGAAAGTAAACTCAAACATACTTTTGTGTTAGTGTTACAGTAAATTTACAACATAACTTGCTAGATTTACCACTTGTTTCTGAGTTATACAGCTATCTGGGAATCCCCCCTCTCATCAAGCTAGACTGGATTCCATGTTTATTTCTAATACTTTAAACAGCGTGTCTACTTAATATAAGACTAAATTGATAGTATAAATTACATGGGTTCTGAAGAATATAACTTTATTGTAGTGAGTAAAAAACAACTCAAACATTATACACAACATACACTACCCTCGTCTTGTTCTTTCGATTTGCTCTTGTACAGGGTTAATGATAAAGGTTGGAACTTCCCGAAACCGGTATAATTCAGCGAAAGCAGTGAATAAAATAATAGATTAGGCTTCATATTTTAGAAGTTTAAGTTTAGACTCAAAGTCCTTAAAAAAAATAAGCATTTATTTTGTTCATACGCTTATCAAAACGACCTATATCTAGATAATAATAAAAGTAATTTTAGAGCTGTTACTCTGAAGTACCTACACCCTTTTTAATCAATGAGCATAAACTTGATATGCATCTTATATGCTTACAACAAATTATTACTAACATTAAAATTAAGAGACTATTTACAGTAAGTGCAAAATAGATGACAATACTTTTTATAATAACTTTATAAACTTGATATTAACTTCTTTCCTGAAATATTTGGAAATTTAAGGCTTCTTAAGAACAGTTGAGAACATGGAAAGATGCTGGTTATATTGTATAATGTTTAAAATTAGTTAACATAATGTTACGACAGCGGAAGTCATGTGACCCTAGTAACACGTCATGAACTTCTAGAAGGATCCTG